TTTTTTTTTTTTTTTTTTTTTTTTTTTTTTGTTTTTTTTAGACCCTTCAATGATAAAGTTTTTAAATGGTTTTATAAATAACAGTGACCAATTTCTTATCATTAAAACCGTTGTTGCATCAATCGTAGAGCGGCTTGAACTTTTGCAACAGCCAGAAATATTACATCGGTGGGAACATTCGGATATGTCGAAAATGGAAAAGAATAGAAAAATACATGTAAAAAAAATGTAGCTGAGAAGAAGTGTAGGGAATTATAAATTTGGAAGTAGTAAACCGTAATTCGCAAAACGCAGATACTTAACTCTTCGACGAGCTATTGCTTTTGTTTTGCGCATGAAGTATGAACTTGTTCATCATGATACCACTGTAAAGCTGGACGGATACTGAGAATTTCAAAGCTGGTTTTGAATTACCGCCTTTCTGAATGCTGGCGGTTTGCCAAGAATGTCTATTTGAGTTTTATTAGGACAGAGGATCAGAGATGACATCTCTCGGGTCTCTAACACTGTTTTTCGTTCTTACGAAAACTCTGCCAGTTACGGATACGGAGGGTTTCGTTTGCATTTAAAGACCGGTGCGAATAACATTTTGATTTGACCTGCCCTTCAGCTTGGTCAGCTGTTTGGTTTGCTGGGGGTAATGTCAAATGTCTCAGACGGCTTTTATAAAGTTCTTGCAGAATTTTGCTTTTTTTTTTTTTTTGCTCAGTGAATTTATTGCCTGTTATAATTCAGAAGCAGTGTAATCTTCGCCAAATTGTCTTCATAGTATTGCTGCTGTTTGGAAAATAGAAAAAATGGTAGTTGTCATACTTCTGTAATCTGTTGTGAAAGATATTGAGCTGGGAAGCTCAACATGTCGATGGAGATGGGATTTATCTGTATATAAGTTTTTTTGGGAGTTATCATTCACCTTATTTGAGAGTCTTTACTGACAACCCTCTCTGTGATCAGACTCACTCACTCCATGTGCGTAATTTGTTAGAGCAAAAAATTTCATTACGAAGTTAATTTAGACGCTTTGACCGGTTGTTTCTTTTTCTAAAAAATTTTTTTTGTATTTTATGATTTCGTTAGGGTTCATGCCTGGAGGTGATACAGGTCAAGTGCTGTCGGGTATTTCATAAATGTTTCTTTCCTAGATAGACTTTTATTTCAGAATTTCATTTCGTAATGGCAAAAGGCTAGCCATTGCAAACGAAATTAGAAGTCAGCCATCAAAAACAGGAAATAAAAGAAACTGTAGTTATGTCGTACAGTTCGAGCAATCAGCGTGCGTTCGTACAGAAGCGCAGCAAGTAGGGTCTTTTCTCATCTCACTTATATTACTTTGCTTTCTTTGTTTATCTTTATTACTGAGATATATTTAGACTTGATGCATGGGTTATATATATTGTTGTCATATTCACTCTTTGCGATGTTACTGTTAATGGAGTATTGATTTAGAATGACTGCTGCTGATGTGAGGAAGCACGTTATGACCGGCAGCCTTTTACTCCACCCAAATTCTGTTATGAAAAATGACTCGCCAGATCAGAACAATACCACTCGTCCAGTATGTCTTCACCTTTCGGAAATTGTGCTGTTTTTTAAGTTAAACTACTTTTGGTTGCTTTAAGCTAAATTTGGTTGATGCTGCTGATCCACTGGACGTAGAAGACATTTTATCACAAAAAAAACCTAGCTCAGCTATTTATGAGCATTCCAGCACGAGTCCGAAATGGTCAGTTTCATATTTGTGTCCTACTTTTTTTTAATTAGATTCATTAGAACTGTTTGTTTATATATTATTTACAATTATCAATTGTTTGTTGCAAGCAGGGTGGTATTTCATTTATTCGGAACGAACTTTTTCAGCATAGCGGAATTCCCAGCTGACGATATCGAGGTACGACTGGTTCATCGAGAAAGACCGACTGTTGAACCTCCTTATCCTGCTAATTCTGCTAGGTTTCAAATCTTATTGAATAAATCGCTGCCGTTTTTTCACAAAAATATGCTTTGGCACTAAGTTGCATATACTTTTTTTTAATTCCATTTTTGTTAGCGGATCAGAATGGTGTATTTACAGTGTCGACCCGATTGTTAAAGATATTATTCGCACATATGATGATGATTTCTCTTTGGTACAGCGGAAATATCATCAGTTTTCAAGTGGTGAAGCTTACACTAGAATGTTGATGGAAAGACCACTGATTTTGCAGTCTTCTCCAAAACAGATCTACGAAATAGAATCCGACCGTTCTCA